GGAACGTTTGCGAAATAGGTTGACGGAAATTCATAATGAAAAATTTGAAGGCAATTCGAGTTAGGGCAGGGTTGGAGGAGTCTTAAGGGGAGATAGGCCATCGGGTGTTTTTGTAATTAAGGAGGTTTAAGGAACGGCGGCGAAGACACCTTGGCGTATTATTGTGGCGGTACAGGGGGAGGGTGGCTTTTTGGGAGGTCAAGGCCTATCCACCACGGAATATATTAGTTTGTGTACTGAATTTTTGGTTTAGGGAGAGTGGGAGGAGGGTTGGCGGGGGGGAGTGGGTGAGGGACGGGTTTGGGGATGAAGGGTTTAATAGGGTATAATGAGCAGGACAGTGACAGAAATCGAGGGGTAAGTAATAAATGTAGAGGGAGGTGGAGGTGGCAGTTTTTTGGGGTGTGCCAGGGTAAAACCCCAGGCAATAGACGGAAATACCCAAACGATTTTTATAGGTATCATTGGGGGGTGTACGGCCATTGTTGGTGGGGGTTTTGAATTGTATGTTAAGTAGTGGTGGATGTGGAAATCACAAAGAAACGGGTGTTGTCACGGTTTTAGTGCCCCAAAAAGAAGGAATGCCGCGGAGTTTTGAAATGATTTCCGTGCGATTACGTTAATGTGTGGATTACAAGATTTTTGCTAAGGTTTTGGGCCAACAGAATGAGGAAGGAAAGTGTTGGGTTTTAGTGTTACATAGGGGTCAGTTGGTGAATTCGGGAAGAAGATGAGGGATGAGGGTTGGACATGGTTTGATTTAGGATTTTTCTAGAGAGATTACGGGAGGGGGAATACTAGGTTTAGATTGGGTGAATGCTTGTGATTGCGTGGGACAGAGATTTCTTAGGGGTTTGCTTAGAGATGTTGGGGTTTCGGGAGGGGGTAGTGAGAGTGGGTGAACACCTGTAGATGGGGCAGAGGTGAGGGTACAGTCAGTGGAGGTTGGGTTGAAAGTGTACCAATGGAGAGAGGTTTGAGGCAGGGCTGTCCGATGTCACAGCTGCTCTTTGCGTATGTGCAGAATCTTTTTATGAGTCTGTGAGAGGGGTGATGACAAACAGGGAAGAGAATGGAGACGGGGTGCAAAGGGGGCATCGTTGGGTATGTGGATGATACTACTGTTTTTAGCTAAGGGGTAAGGAGGAGTTAAGGAGGGTGCTAGAGTGATTCCAGAATGTTTGGTATGAATACCGGAATGAGAGTTAATACGGTGTCGAAATCAAGGTACTAGAGGTCGGTATTGGATTGGGGGGGTTGGCTACTTTGGAGAGATGGGGTTAGATGGACAGTGGTTGATCAGAATTCAAGGTATGTGGGATATGGTTATTGGCGGAAGTGCAGCGCATGCAGAAGGGTTAAATTCGGAGTCTGTCACGGGTATGGTTTTAAGTAGACTAGGAGGTTTATGTGCGAGGGACTGAGCTTTACATCAGAGGGGTAGTGGTGGTAAATTCACTTGTCTATAGCAAGGTATGGGGTGGTGGCAGAGGTTTTTCCCTTAGAGGTACGAGATACTGTGGAAATGCTGGGAGGGTGTGAAGTTTGTGTGGGGATTTGGGAGGGCATGTTAAGTAAGGACGGTAGTTACTGACGGATGGTTCGTGAGGGGGTTTAGGTTTTTGTTGCCTTTAGACTGAGAGTAATGGCTGATATATCAATGTGGAGGTATCTGAGGGAGTATGGGGGTGTGAGGGGCGCTCTAAAGTAGGAAGAGAGTTATGGAGGAGGCACGTAAATGGTGGAGTGGGAAGGAAATTGGTGTGTTTTGTGAAGATATGTTGAGGATTTTTATTGGACAGTTGCAACAGGTGGATAAAATCAAAGTGAAACGGTTGGTGAGGGTAGTGAAAGGTCAAGGAATTATGCAAGGGGTTAGCCGATTGTATCCAACGTATGATGGGGGGTTATTTGAAAGATTTTAGTAAGCTTCGGAAACCGTCATAGAGTAAGAGAATTAGTATATGGTTTATCATGGGGATTCTGGCTTTCCAAGGAGGTGTTACGTAGTATGGGGTTTGTGGAAGAGGCTTTTTGTCAGTTTTGTGGTGATGTTGAAACGGCGTTTTCATGTGGTCTTTTTTTGTACCTCCTTGGAGGGGGTGAGAACATGGATGGTGCGGTGGGGTATCAGAATGTTGGGGGGGGGAGGGGGGTCGTTTGCCGCTTTTAAGGGCTTTACTACTAGGATGTAAGGGGAGTGCCTAGGGATTTGGAAGGGCTATAATGTTATCATAGTAGGATTATCTGGACATTTCAAGGGGAATGGGGGATTATTAAGGGGTTGGATTGAGGATAAAAAGGTTGGCGGCCGGGATTCTATAGGACGAAGTGTAGGAATAAGTTGGTTTATGGGGCCCCGTCTTGGGAAAAAGTTTCCCGGAAGGATATAGGAATTCTCACTGTGGGTTCCTTGGGCGGGGTCCTGAGGATGGACATGGAGTGGTCTCCTTACATGGGGGGATGTAAAGGGGGGGGTTTGTTTTTGGTTTTATCTGGAACTGATTGTAGTGTGTAAGAGGAAGGTGTGTGATTTAGGTATGGATGTGTACGCCATGATGTCACGAGAATGTTTGTCATAGTGAGATTAAGTGTGGTTTTCCAGGTGGTTACATTTCTAAGCCTGATGGATATTATGTTCACTGTGTTTAAAAATTTCCTTGAACCAGGATTCCGAGCCCTTAGGATCTAGTTTTTAAGTAATTAGATTGGCACGTTGCGTATCAACACTAAATTTTTCTGAGATACGTGTCTGGGGTTTTTCTTTTGGGACTGGCAAATTACGCAGCCTTATCCTTATTTACTCTAGTCTTATGTTTAACTTTTATGTCTGATGAAGGTTCTATGTAAAAAAATTTAAGTGTAGTATTGGTTTTGGGTCTATACCATGTTTTATGGGGTTAAACCAACAAAGGCTTTGTGGAGAAGATTTTCGGTTTATATTACCTATGTGGGAAGGTATAATTATGTATAGGGTTTGGTTTATAAACCCTTTAATGTGCGAGGTTTGTTATATATACTTGTTTTGGATTCTTTTATTATTGTATTTTACATGCATGTTTTGTTCTGTTTTTCTGTTCAAACATTTTGTATTAGAGGGTTAACATGTTAATAATAGTAAGAATTACTGTTTCTCTTGTGGTTATTGTGTAAGGAATTATATGTTTCCTTCCGGGTTCTATTGGTTAAGGATCTAATGTACCATAACATAAACCAATAATCTGTACCCCACTTGTCATAGCGGGGTTTGTTAGGGTTATGTTTTGTTTTGTAAGGTTATGGTAGTTTTGGTTATCTTGTGATGTTGTACATTTGTTGATGTTTTTTTTTGTTATTGGACATGTCACGGTATTCATTTTATATTGTTAAACTATTTAAAGTTTTCTTTTTGGTGTGATTTTCTTTGGGTAAATGGCGTGGCGGGCAACTTAATTAATGACTGATAAACTTTAGTGTGGTTTGTCTTAGCGAGTATTGTTTTGCTATAACAAGGATGTTATATTACTTGTGCCCGCAAGAGAATAAACTGGGATTAGTTAGAACAAAGAATTTTTGTATTCCTGTACTTTATTATTGCGTCCTTTGTACTTTTGTAAGGTTTCTAATAAAAATATAAAAAAAAAAAAATATATACATACAGTCCACCTTATTTGCAACGCCATGTCTTATTGGTGTTATCCAACTTAATCTACGGTACTAGTCTAGGATGGTTGTGGATAAGATTTGTGAGGTCGATAGGAGCCACCTGGTGCGAACAGGGTGGCTTAAGTTTTCTCCTCACCTTTACACGTGTAACTACTGCAAACAAATATATGGTTTCACTCCCATGAGATTACGTCTTATGATGTATGTTGACGGTACATGCAATGATTTAATTCTCCACAATACCCACTGTAACGTACATTCAGACTTACTACTTTTAAATAATTTACCACTCACTATAAGCTAAGGACTAAAATATTTAAGGTATATAATGTGTGTATTGTATATGCATTTTTTAGGCCCTAGCTCTATTGCTCAATATGTGCATAGCATAATTATGTTATTAGTCTATTCAGATGCATTTGAAAGTGAAGAAAGAAAAGGCTATGCTCCCATTTTCAGGAGTCTGGGGAACCTAACCCTCAGTAATAAGCAGGACCTATTGTATCGTATTTGCTACAAACAGTAATGACACTAGTTTGTCGATGACTCTTATATTACGTCTAATGTGTGTAAGACCTAGAATTGTGATGATCCTGCTATATCTTAATGTATGAATGAACTGGACTGTTGATAAAGATTAGGAATATACCTATAGTGATATGTTATGATTGTTTGTGTTGAGGGTTACTACGATGAAGTTTATCGATCCTCTGAATTTTTAAAATTGTCTATAAACTCAATATTAATCTTAATTGATGAGTAATTTAATTGAATCAACACTGTTTCAGTATAAAAATGTCATTAATATAATTAACCGTGTTTTATGCAAAATTCAAACATTTTCATTTCTAAGGATAACGACCATCCAGAGGAGTGTAAGTGTGTTTTGACAATTATGATGAAGAAACTACGGACGGCACGGCACTTCTGCGTGTGGCAAACATTCTGCTCACAATGTATGTAGATTTACAATAAAATGGATGTTCAACTACCTGCCACAGCTGCCGTGGTAAGCACAGCGCCACAGCTGCCGTGGGTAAGCGCAGCGCCACAGCTGCCGTGGTAAAGCACAGCCGTCACAGCTGCTTCTCAATTCCATCAGCTACTTGTAGTGGCCTTCATAAAGAAATTCAAGGTCAACCATCTCCACCAGCGGGCGCAGTGTAGCAAAACGGTCAAGATCGCAAAAGGGAGGCTTCAGCGAAAAGCTACGTCTGTGGTACAGGAACAAAAAAGCAGTATTCAATAAACCTAATAATGTGGAGTGTGGGAAATACTGTTCCCTGTGGGCAAGATAGTTACCCAGGGACTGGTTGAGGGACTGGATAGACTATGATCTGATGGAGTGGGAGAACATGGCAGCAATAGAGCTCCTGGAAAACAGGAAGATACAAGGTGTGAGTGAATATGACAACAGAAGAGAGGATGAAAGAAGCATCTGCAGACCATGTGGAATACCTCGACACAGTCACCAACTGCACAGGAGGTATTTGCAATCATTGATGAAGCTGATCAGAACAACGTGGAGGCTGAAGGTTGGATCCGAAGTGTCAGGAACTCTTCCCAGATGTCACCCTATCTCCTACTTCAGTGAAGGTATACTGCTGGACGTCACTACTCTCACTGAACTGAAAGTAACTTATGGTGTTTTATAAAATACTATATATTTTAACACTTCCACCTGTATTATTTTAATGCTTGTTCTTTTCTTAAGTGTTTATTATATGTATGTTACAATAGTTATACATACTCCAGATTACTTGTGTTTGAAATAATTAATCTGATTTTATTTATTATGTTCTTTAATAACACATCGACCGTTTCCCCCGAGGCAGTGTGACCTGGAAAAAGTAGAAACACTTTCATCATCATTCACTGCATCAGTCTTGCCAGAGGTGCACATTACAATACAGTGTGAAAAAAAAATTGCAACATATCAACATCCCTCTTTCAGAGTGCAGGCACTGTACTTCCCACCTCACAGAACTCAGATCTGCTGGACTGGCTTCCTTGAATCCCTTCATGAATGTTTACAATGTTCACACTTCAAACAGCACGTAAAAGTCATAAAAACCATTTATCTCCAATTTCTCCTATCAACATGCCTCACTCACTCTGGAGTCCAAGCATCTTGACACACAAAAACTCCTTTTCCCCCTCCCTCTAACCTTCCTGGGCCAATCCCTACCCTGTATTCCTTCCACTAAGATTATACGCTCTCCAAGTACATCATTTCATTACTTCCTCTTTAAATGTCCGAGCCACCTTAAACAACCCACTCCCTCAAGCCCTCTGGATAATACTTTTAATGACCAACTAACCTCCTAATTTCCAAACTACGAATTCTCGCCATTATATTCACACCACCACATTGCCCTCAGACACTACAAGCCACTGCCTCCATCTTTTCTCCTTGTTGCAACATTCACCACCATCTTCACACTCTATATAACTATTCTTATATACATCCCCTCTTTGCTTACATGGGATAGCATTCCGTCTCTCAATAAACTCCTCAGAAACACGTCAGTTCCATTTTTCCCTCATCAATTCCATGATTCACCTCGTCTTTCATGACCATCTGCTGACAAAGTCCACTCACTAATATCTGTAAACACTCGCTTCCTCCAAGATTCTCCATACTTCCTCCAGTCTGATATCAAGTCTTCCATTAACAATTTTTTTTGTCATCATCGCCCTGCTCTTCTCCTATGTCACTTATTAATTTTCCTTGATATACAAAACCCCACTAATCAATGTTTATAGAGAGGAAACATATATCACATCATTTTTTAGTTGTAGCTACAGTGAGTGAGAATAATAGGTAGATGGGGTTGCAAGGAGAACTGGAGGAGCAATAAGAGATAGATGAACATTTATAACTAAAAGAAATGCACTTAGGGTACGATATAAGTAACAATTGGTAGAAAAGCATGGCTAGTGAGGTGTTAGGTAATGAGTACTGAGAAGTATGGGGCAGGATTTAAGATGTAGTGTTAATTAAAGTGTTCACAGAAATCTGTGGAAATAGGACGTCTGGGTACAGGAGAAAGAGGAGTGATTGGTGAAATGATGAGTGTTAAGAGTAGTAATAGAGAAAAAGTTAGCGTCTGAGAGGTCTTTACAATGTAGAAGTAATAAAAGTAGAAAGGAGCATCTGGAGAGAAAAACAGAGGTTTGGATAGTGGTGAAGGTATGTTATGAGATGAGCTAATGAGTTTGGGTGAGATAGCATCAAACAAATTTTGCTGAGAATATGTGGAAAAAGTTTCTGAGATATTGAGTTTAATACGTTAAGGAAACCTAGGGAATTATGGCATTTCACAGTTAATTTAAAAGTAGAGGAAGAGGGTTATTTAAATGGAGACTTAAAGGTATTAGTAAAAATGGAGGGGAATATTCTGAGGAGCTGTTAAATGTTTTTAGATTATTATTAAGCTACGATTTCTTGCGAGGTGATAGGGAGGTACTTGAGATGTAGGTAGAATAAAAAAGGTAAAGCAGCAGGGATTGCTAGGATCAGATGGAATGTTTTTAAAAGTAGGTGAGAGGCCATTAGTCTTGGATGGTTAGTGTTTTTATTTAATAAATGATGGAAGAAGTGGGGGGGGAGGTTACGTAGGGATGGGTGAGAGGCATTTCATAGTTCCTTTGTACAAATGCAAAGAGGACAAAAAAGAGTGTGTAAGAATTATAGGGGAAATAAGCCTGTTGAAGTATACCTGGAAACCAGTGTATATGGTAGTTAACATGACAGAATTAAGGGTAAGGACGGAGAGGCAGGAGTGCAGATGAATAGGGCAGGTTTAGGATGTGTAGAATAAGTGTATAGTGGAAGCATATAACGTGAACAGTATTTAGAATAAGGTTTCAAGAGTTTTCTTTTGCATTTATGGATTTGGAAGAGGCACCATGATAGGGAGGATATGGGAACAATGTGGCAGAATGTTGCACATGTATGGAATAGGTGTTAAGTTGCTAAGAGCAGATAAGAGTATTTAAGGTTGTGAGGCTCCGGTTAGAGTACTGAAGAATGATGGTTATTCTTTCCTAGTGAAAATCACTGTTGTTGTTCAGTATTATTTTTATGAAATGGGGTTTGTAAGAGAATGAATGTGCACGGGTGGTGGCAGAGGTGTAGGGATTAAAGGATAAAAGAATCAAACACAAAGAGTGGGAGTTGTCACAGTTGCTTTTGGCTGATGACACTCATGCTTTTGGGAGATTCTAAAGAGAAACTGCCAGAGGTTGGGACGAATTTGGCAGGGTATGTAAAAGAAGGTAGGTATGTAGACAGCGACGCCCAGGGAGGTACTAACCGTCCTTCCAAGTGAGTGTTTTTATATATGATGGTAGGATTACTGGTGGTTCTCGGTTTCTCATATAAAAAGAAAAGATTCAGGTACGTCTTGCTACTTCTTCTTACACATAAGTCACACTGCACATGCATTGTATACACACCACTCTGGGTTTACATCTATTTTCTTATAGTTTCTTTTTCTTTTCCTCTTATCTCCATGGGGAACTGGAAACAAGAAGTCTTTCTCTCCATGAGCCATGCATTGTTGTAAGAGGCGGCTACAGTGCCAGGAACAAGGGCTTAGTAACCCCTTTCTCCTCTATACATTACTATATGTTAATATAATGGAATATATTGGAGTACAGTGGCACCCACACTCTTCTATGGGTGTGAAGTTTGGGTAGTGTATGTTGCAACAAGGAAAAGACTGGAGGCAGTGGAGATGTCATGTCTGAAGGTGACTGTGGTGTGAATTATTATGCGGAGAATCCGTTAGCTCTTGAGGGAGGTTGTGGGGTTATGAAGTGTTATCCAGAGAGATGAGGGGTTGTTATTGAGGTTAGTTTGGACATTTAGAGAGGGTGGAGCAAAATAGAATTGTAATGGAGGGCATATACATCGTATCTGAAGGAAGCTGGGGTTGGGCTCAATCCTAGGAAAGGTTGTTGGGAAGGGGGGGTTACTGCAGGCTTTTATGTCTTGAGTATGGAGATGGGTGGGTAGTCCAGTGCCTGCACTCTGAATGGATGGGTGCTTGATATGATGCAGTTTTTTACCCTTTAGTGGAGGCATGCCTTGGAAGACAATGATCGAGTATGAAGTGTTAAAAAGGTTAATTGTTTTCTACTCGATGTGTTTAGATTGTCTTTTATGCACAAAAAATGGACAGATCAGTTTTCTTTGTTCATTATCCCAGCATTAATGTTTCCATGGCAGGTTTAAAAAAAACAATCTGCTTCTGTCGCGTGCCCTCTCAGCCCTTGCTGCCCTCTCACAAAGGATATGCCTGATTCCAGCATTATTTCCTTCCTTTGCTAAAACACTGCAATAATAGTTAACACAAGATGCTTGATTTCGGTTGTCTGGCTTAGACCTAAAGTTTATGTTAGCCTCAGTTGGTAAATAAAAATGGAGTGCAGGTTTTCCCTAAATTTCCCTGCTACAGTAGGAGTATAATTCCTCTCAATCCACAAGGTTATTACAACACTGGTCTCTTGCAAGCCCCAGCAGGCGTGACTTACTAGGAAAGCCTGGTACAAACGTGCGACAAATTAAAACTGATTGTGATAGTGCAGAAGAGAGGCTATCAGCTCTCTTGGTGGGCTGAGTCACTCAGGGGGCTGAAAAAGAGGCTGAAAGGGCTGATAACCCCCTCTGGTAGAAAATTTTTACACAATAAAGGTAAGTTGTGCAACCACTTTTGGTGCATTTTAAGATATGTGTGTATGTGTAATGGATCTTATGAAAATTATCAATGAAGGGGTATATCACTTACCATCAGTTTCACACAGTATAACATATTATATAAGTGCATGACTCTGAGATGGGCAAGGGATATACTTACGCAAATTTTTTATTCGATTGCAGGGCATAGGGTTAGTAATGACGATTAGCAAGGCAAGGAATATACATTGAAATGTTACTTGGAGATACTGGGCAGCTGGCTTCTTCAAAAGGTGGTTGTCCTGCCATAGTTGTTTTGGCGGGGATGTTGCATTGGTAGATTGTATTTTGGTTAAGTTTATAAGAAGTCTCCTATAATCTGGGTGATGTTATCTTATTGGAATAAAAGGGTTTGGGTTTACCCATTCATCTACTCTCAGGGGAATCATTCAGGTTCATTGGATTTCTGGAAAATTATCCTTGTGGATGAATCGTCGCACTCTCAGTTGATTGGGTCAATTCTTTTGGGTTCTGTGGGAGGTGTGATTTGGCTGATGAATATAGTCGGTTGTATTTCCAAATGGAGTGAGGATTCTATCTGGTATATAGATTCTTTCATTGTTGTATAGTTGCCTTCTCTTTAGTCTTATCACGCATTACATTATTGCATCAATGACCTGGCGGATGTGTGAATGACTATCCTAATTTCGTGTCTCTCATGGTTTTTTGTTGCCTGGATAAAGTGGATTTCTTGATTCTGGACTCGTTGTAACTGTAGCCATGGTGGTTGTTTTGTTGTTAACGACCTGGGGGGAGGGGACACTGTATATTCTAACCATGGGTCTTATCTCATCTTGTTTAAGTGTTTTTTATGTGGGAAGGGGCTGATAATCCCTTACAGGAAACTGCTGAGATGGGCTATGGTTACATTTACCTTTTTAGTGATGTGAG